TAGGGCCTTAGGGTTCAGGGCTTAATTAGGGGTTAAGGGTTTAGAGTGTACCCAATGGAATCATATCGATAGGGCTTTCACTGTCTTCCAGTTAGGGGGCCCCTGTGAGGACCAAGAGCACAGGAGCGCACGAACTCAAGGGCCCTTTGAGGACAAATGCCTTCAGTATTCCATGTTTTGCAGATCTGAAAAGCATTGAAAACGCGAAACACCCACGACATGTTCATTGGTCAGCATTTCTCTGCCTCTAACGATGAACGTGTCGGAACAAGGACTGCCATAGAGTGAGCAGTGCAACACACGGCCTTGAAGCTCAGCACACGGGATGATCACGCACACTTGAGGATGATCTGGAAGCTGGCGAGAAGGAATTTCATCGCAGTCTTGCTTGGTTCGTTGATTGTGTTGCCAGCTGATACACCCAGCACATCCCCTAGACTGCACGCCAGATTGCTAGAGCCTTCATCCCTGCCAAGGTTACTCACTGTTACTCCTCCAGACTTTCGTGGGCACCTTTAGAGGGAGTGCACATCGGAACGATCGGAATGTGCAAAGACGGGCTCCAAAGCTTAGACCAAAGCGTAATGGCTTCCTGGCCTTATTCGGTGTCGGTCCCCGGCGCATGCGGCCCATGCAGTCAAGATGTGACATGCCCTTGATGCTTTTTTGTCGTCCACTGAGTGATCCGGCCCCTGCGAATCTCTGGGTGATGTGAAAGTGATGTCCTCAGGCTAGGATGAAGGTAACAAACCGAAATCGGTGCAATGCTTAAGGATGCCGTTGAACTATTCACTCTAAGCGTCCTTTGCCATCCATGTGGTTGACTGTCTGCTATTTGATCTAGATTTATATAGCTGAAAGTCAACTGTATGTCGTTTGTTACTTGACAGTCTTCCATTCAAAGCCATGGAAGAAGAAGCCCACTACACCTTGCCACTCGACAGTCTCTGTTGAAACATGAATTTCTACCGACCTTTACCCTACGCCTGAAAGAAACCTTGAAACAAAGAGAGTCGACCAGAGATTTCCCGAGCGTCCACCCGTCAAGTCTTAGAGTCGTTCTCTGCAGGAATCGAACCAACTCGAACCACCAACTCATGCCTAAAAATCTCGGCCGAAGTTCCGGCCGAAGCTTGGGAGAGAGAGCTTCTCAAGAGAAGCCACGAGAAAGAATGGGGAACGACTCGGAAGGTCTTTTTTTCCATACCCTGGGTTTGCACTTCCTTTTTTTTTGGAGTCAAGATTATACCAGTCCTACCACCCCTAAAGTCCACTGTATTCCATTTACGACTTTCCTCTCTACCATGCTTCTGCCCGGCATCTGAGGCTCCACCCATCGCCCATGACAGAAGCACCGGCTTTCCTGACGCCTGCGGACGTCGGTCACGGGTGAGCTCGCGGTCTCCTCCCTGCCAGAGGCGCTGTGTCCAGCGCTGCGCGCAGGTGAGTACAGCACTTCGATGTTGCCGGCCAAGAGCGAGAGGGAGGGAGAGAGAGAGAGAGAGGAGATATCAGATAGTAGGGAAGTGGTAAGGACATTAATAAAGACTTGAATGTGAACATGTACAGTCTCGACATGCGCTTTTGTTGGCCGCCTTGCTCAAGTTTTTGATTTTGCAACTACGCCAACAGTGCGGAGAGTCTTTCACGCCGCCAACAGTGCGGAGAGCGTTTCACTTCAAGCCGTGGCGGCAGTGGCAGCCATGGGCTGCGCTTGCGGCAAGGCATCACAAGCATCGCAGCCAGAGCAAGAGGCCCAGGAGCTGTGCAAAGAGCGTTGAAGTTTGCATTGTACCATTCCCACACTGATAAACAAGCACTTAAGCATCGGCGGCTATGAGATCAAGGGTATCAGAGTGAGGAGGGTTGAATCCGATCTGAATGTAGGTCTTGAGAAGATTCGACTGAAACCACAGCCTCCAGCTGTGGGTTGACCCCCAGATTCATGATGGTCGGATTGCCTCCAGGATTTGCCCCGACTCTTGGATCGGCAGCTGCCGCAGCATGCCACCGAAGGAGCACCTGGGAGCAGCTTCCTTGCCGAATGTGGTGTTGGTTGTCAAAACATGAGCTGCAATGGAAAGATGTATAAGTATAAGGCTTATGAAATCTGAAAAAAATGTCTTGACATTCTGAGCCTTAAGGCCTTCAGGGGGGGGGGGTTCCAGCCGACAGCAGTGTGTGGTATGGATTGCACACTTGAATTTCTTTGGCCAGGTCCTTCACCTACAGTATGCCTGCTCCTCGAAAACGGGACATGTGCTTCAGACACCAAGTAGGATGCATAATGAAAACTGTCCCAAGACCAGGCCATCGCGAGACATGTTTCGCATCTGATAAGGTAGAGTGCCTGATGGCAAAACATATGGGTAAAATCATATAAAGAACCTACGGAACCATACTTTTCTCATGGTCGGGTCAGCATCCCAGGAGATGCTGCCAGCAGTTCATGGCAGCGGGAAGGCCCGGTGGGAGCGATGGCCTCATCGAATCACCCAAGAGATGGCTTAAATGGGACGCCAGGGGAACTTGAAACTTTGAAGATGTAGCAGGATTCATCCCATCTTCATATGAAATCATGCTCTATTCACCTGATTTCTTGGGCGCACCAGCAGCAAAGTGTACATGGTTCTTTGCTGCTCGATACATGCAATGTTGGCTACAGGTATGTGGAACTCCAGGCTGGCGTCGTTTCCGTGGAGCGTCTTCTTCAGCTGGTGCCGTGCGATTCGTCTTGCCCTCCAGGTGGTGCGTCCAAGGCAGGCAGCGAAGTCGACCGCAAGACCCAGAGCTCAGAAGCGGACAGTCGCCCACTCCAACAATCAGATGCCCCTTGGATGAGTTCAGCTGGGACATGTCAGGAGCAGGCAGTGAGGCTTGGATTTGTTGTTTGGAAAGACTTGAATTGGTTGGTGATGGGTGTTCTTGGGTGCGATGTGAGAGAGAAAGGTGCCAGGGACCTTTTCCAGTTTGCATGAATTTTGAATGGAGACAGTGTTTTTGATTTTCTTTTCGGATATGCTTGTTGCTAGCTGTTCCCTGCTTTACTAGCTTCTCCTTGCTTAAGCTGTTTTTTGTTGCTTTTCCGTACTTTTGACTGTGTTTGCTTGCTGTTTCCTCGCATATCATCACCATCACCAGCAGCAGCATCGTCATCATAATCATCATCGCCATCATCATCATCATCATCATCAGCTTCAACTTCATCTTCATCTCAACGGCAAACCTCTCCAGATGCAACTCCCAATGGGAGGGCGCGCCAACGGCCACCACCAAGGAATCGCAAACCAAAACATTAACACGAAGACAAAAACCAAAAGCAAAGCATAGCCATGTTGAATTCCCAGAAAGCCTTAAAGTGATGTTTTGGAAGATGTTGCTGTGAAGCAACCACTTCCGCTGCATGTTTTGCTTTCACCGATTGCTTTGAGGCATTGGGACCCTCTGTGGACGTTGGAAGCGTCCACCCAGGCACAACAGGACTGCTTGTCATGACCATGTCAACACCATGGGATTGCCCCAAGAACAGGTCCTATCGGCTGCCTGTAGCCAAACCAAACACACCCAGTTTAAGTGCTTTCATTGGGAGGGAAAGCGCAGCAGAATGACAGTATTGAATGCTATGATATAGGTAAGGCCAAGGCCAATAGTGGTTTCAACAGTCGAGGGCCTCGTCTTTCTAGGGATATCCACGTGGAGTTTTTGGTTCTGTCATGCGACGCAACATGAGGTGGATTGATTTCACCCCCTAGATCTGCCCATTCCTTTCGATTCCTGGCTGAGGATATGTATGACACACATACATATGGCCACTCACTGCAGCTTTCAACATTTCACTGTTTCTGACTACTTGATGCATGATTGCCCATTTCCCTTTCCTGAATGCTACTCAGCGCAAAAATCAGATCCACAACATCGACTCTGAGAACTTGAGTGTTTCCACATGCATCCGTCCTGCACAGCACCTCGTAGGTTCGCAGGGTCCAGATGAAGCGGTGGAAAATATAGAACAACAAGCAACAAGGGTTTGATAGAATGTCATTCGGCTAGGAAGTAGTGGGCGCGCGCCTCACATGCCCCGGCAGATGGTCAAAACCCCCTGCTCCCCAGCGGATTTTCGTCGGAGGTTTCCAGTCGGCCACACGCCTTTAGCTCCTACCAGGAGATGCAGCAAGCAGCTCGGAGCCGAGCCAAGGCCTGGGGCTGCGGGCTGTGGGAGGGCTGTAGGGCCCTCTAAGTCATCCCAGAATGGTGTTATGTGTGGTCCAATTGAGCTGATTCAGTGGGTTCTCCTGTTGTGAGAACGGCTTGGCCAGTGGATGTTCATCAAGGTGAAGATGGACGGTAGTAGAGTTTGAAGGCGTCCCCGATTAAAGGGTCAAAGTGTACTTCGGTTTGGGGTTGGAATACAGGGCAGGCTTGAAAAAAATGCGGACACAGCGTTTGATCACATCAGCTCACAACATGACCCCGGGCCAGAAACTCCAATCACGAGACCTTCGAAACTTACCAACGAGTCATGCATGTTGTGTTCATGTGCTGTCGCAATTCTGATGGGAAGCCTTTCTCCAGATGGCATGTCAAAGTCCCATCTTAGCACCCTCTATCTTGGTGCCCACAGGGTGCATCACTGAGCTCGCCAGGTAGCCACCTGGACCAGAAGATACAGAGTGCAGAAGCCAGCAGCCGCCAACGGTTACAATCTGAAGCACCGCAGTTGCAACGGAGAGATTCCATGAACTCAGACATGATCTCGGATATGAACCAGACATGGATTGACATTCTACTTCTGGTCAGATGTCACTATTGTCATTAGATTTCACAGTTCCTCGCCAGGAACATTGAAGTCATTTGACGCCAGTTTCTGCTACGAAGCCACTACTTGTTTCGGTTTTACCCGTTGCTTTCATCAGGCATCGGGACCCACAGTGGAGGACTTTGGAGTGACGAGCTCTTTCTGCTCCTGCTGCCCGGAGCGAAGGGCTTGGGAATCAGAGCTAATGCAGGCGCGGCAAGTGTCAGCGCGTTGTCATATCAGCCAGAGGCATCAGAATATCGCACAGACCCCTCCGCTTGCCCGAAGCCCACTCCCCGAGTTTTGGAGGGTCTTCTTTTTCCCTGACGGGGCAACCCGTCTCAAGAACCCGAACCCTCGAGAACCCTAAAAATCTCAAAGGACAGTCCCCTAAAGGGCCCTAAAGAGTCGACGACGCTTAGAAACAGTAACGGACCCAATCGCTCATACGGATTCTTATCTCCGACATTGCTTTCTCCTTCTGACAGGCGTCAAGTTTTCATGGTTCATCGGGCGCTTTGATCTGATTCCCTTTTGGAAACTTCCAGGTGGCTTCAGACCTCAAGGAGAAACTCCGCGACCCACACTTCGTGGCCATGCGCTGCGATCTTGACAGCTCCGGTGATTTGGATGCGCACGAGCTGAAGCCACTCGGCTCGAAGCCAACATGTTGTTCAGGTGCTGTTGGTTCGGTAAAGTAGTAGTTGGGTGTTTGCCCATTTTTTCGCAGGCCGTGAATTCGTTCCTCCAGCAAGGATGTGGACCCTGCGGGAGTGTCAGGTTGCGAGGGTATCAAAGAAATCCATAGAGGTTTAGTTAGGGAGGGTGGTAGACAGCCAGGTTTGGCTTTAAGGTTTACAGAGTCATCCTTGACTTTTTGAAGAATCACCGCTCACTGAACTATGTGTTGAGCTCCAGGGGCTTTGCTTGACGGGTTCCGAGGCAGGCGGCGCGGGTCTTCGGGATGAGACCCTCGGAAGAAGAGCTGCGCAATCTCATGGCCGGCCAGCAGCGAATCACGAAGGCTGGCTCCGCCGGGCCATATGGTCAGAATCATCCATGATGGTCTGATTGTCCTTCAAAACGGTGGTGTGAGGTTGACATGGGCGGGACCTTGCAAATGCTCTGTGGATGTCGCTTTCTTGATGTGTGGTCTCCTTTGAGAGAGGGCGCGTTGGGGTTTATGTTGACAGTCGAAGATGTAGGTTAAAGCCCTCAAGACGGATCCGGAGTTCATTCATGGTGATTTATCTATCTTCGCATCGTTGCCAGTTTTGTTCAACATGGCCTGCTGAATATGTTGAGGGGCGTCACGTTGGCAGGAGCAGTTTGCGGAGATCGTCCATGACTTTCGACAAAGGCCTGAATCAGCGCAGTCCCAGCGAATCTTGGCATGGGCCCGGTGAGTTAGTGTGCGCTGGCTGTAGGTACAAATCCCTTGCACATTTCAGCCATGTTTGGGAGGACTGGTTGAGAGCATTGATCTGATCGGTATTGGGCCAAGCACCGGCCAGTTTAAGATTCCAAGTGCTGCTCAAACTCGACTTTTGTCAAGCTAATCATGTTTTCCCTCCCCGTGATTACCCCGGCCTTTCCACCACAGTGGGCTTGCACCTATCTTCAGATCGTTGAGACATTCCAGACCCAGACAGTTCTTGTTTTGGTGCTCACTCCACCTGAGCATCACATGAATATGACGCGCATAGGTAGGCCTGGCAATCATCTTTCAATTTGCGTTGGGTTTGTGGGATGTATCTTGCATTCAACAGTGGAGGCAGGCAACTACCTACCGGTGAATCATCAAGGGCACATAATATTGCAATCAGACAAGGCAAGGCAATGGAATTTGTTCGCGCCTTTTTTCTCTGAAATATCCTTGTTGAGCCATTGATTTCAACTTGCTCCAGGAGTGGTTCCACACTCGCTGCGGGGCATGGCCTTGGGCCAGCTGGAGCATTTAGAGGAACTCTTCGTGAAGTCTGGTTGGCTGGCCAGACAATGCGCCTCTTGTCCCTTATGTTGAAGCTGTATGTCTGGTCTCAGTACCTCTCATTGGACCACGAGCCTTTTTGCGGGACCATATGTGGCAAAGTGAGGATTCGTCATATATACTCATATGAATATTCATACTGCATCTAGATTTTTTTTGGGGAGCACGGTAGGCAGGGCCACAGCTGGTGCTGGTGCCACAGCTGGCCAGCAAAGGTGGGTTGGTGTATTTTAGGTCAGGACCATGGCAGCTTTGAGATAAGGACACCTTCAATGAAGACAACGCCCAAGCGATCCTGGCTGGAGAGATTAAGTTCCCACAGGCACCGAACCTGTATGCGCTGGACACCTACGTGGTGACACCGATGTCGAAGCCGGGGCCATGCGCAGCCCGTGATCAGGACTCCAATCGCTCCATACCTTGGGCAGTCCTGAAACTTGCATGCAAAAACAACTGGATTCTCACCGTTTTTTACTCCACTGAGTTCATGGATGATGTGCATGCGCAAGAGCGCTCCAGATTTGAGGCAATCGTCTTTTTCCGAGCTGCTGAATCCCCACGGACTCTCGGTTCACATCTTCGTTGCACACTTCTGGGGCCACCTCTATAGCAACTCGGCTTGAAGCTTTTCCCCGGCCTTGGGTGGCCAACAGGTGCGGCAGCTACTGTAGATCATTCTGGATTACGGAAAGACTTCAAAAAGGGGTGATTTCTGAGGCCAGTGGCAGCCAGAAAGGTTTATTATGCTAAGCCAGTTGGATTGATCAACACTTCGCGCTCTTGAGGCAGCACGCTTACGGCACTCCGATTGTGGGCTACAAAGCATTTTTCCAACTTCGCTCAGCATCCGCAGTCGGCGGTCTTTTGGATCTGTGCCACGGCAGCATCAGATACAAGGGGTCATGATTTGGTCAAGCCGCCTTGCCAGCCCCAGCAGTCATGAGAGCATGTGGCCAAGCTGCCAATTTGTTTCGTTTGGCAAGGAGCAAATTTCGAACATTCATCTTCACTTCTCTCCTCCCATATGCTCCTGATCAGTGAAGCAAGCGATGTTCCTCCCCTCTCTGGAGTTTCGAGGTCTGTTCGCTCTCAACCAACACGCGGTGGCCGACGAAGTTGGGGAAAAGCCCATGCAGGGGCCGTTCAATGCAGCATTAGCGCAAGCAACGGGGGGCGCTGTGATGGTGCCTTGGATTTACAGGTCTGGTTGACATCCAAGTCGGGATGCTACACGGGCACTTGTGTAAATCCAAGTTAGTATGCTACCCAGGCACTTCTGTAAGTTGGCTTCCCGCGACAGATTCATGATACATCACAACATTTTCCAAGGTGGGAGACCGTTGTGAGAAGTCTCCTTCTCTTACTATCCTGCTGATGTAGAACTGTGATACCGCCTAGACAGCGCATGCGGCTTGCAAACATCCTTTAGTCACTTTAGTCCCCATTGCGTGATTTTGGGGGAATCGGATGGAGTTGGATGGAATCAGAGGTGCTTGACCAAAGCGTGAACCCGTTCAAGCGCATCTGGTGTCTTTTCGAAGTGTCGCGCCTCCGAGAATTGCAACGACCCTTCGAGCTGATCTGCGACTCAGCCATCGTTAAATCCCATGGTTGAAGTGTAAAGCCTATCTAAAGTTCATCTTGCTTTGTGTTTGCCCGTCGACCTGGAACTTCCAAAGATGCCAAGTCTTAGCCCAAAGGGATCGATGTTGGTTGAGGAGTGATCGTTGGGATCCAATTGATTCAAAGCGTTGTATGATATTCGCTGCAGGGCTGCTTGAGCTCTGCGAACCTGAGGCGATTTGGGCTCATTGTCAGATTCAGCTGGCCTGGTTCGTGGCTCAAAGGCAGAGCAACTCGAGATCCAGCAGGCGACCTGTGAAGCCTTGTGGAACGTATCGGTGAGCGACTCGGTTCGCAAGTGCCCTGTTGGAGTCTTGGAGTTGGGCAAGTCATTGGTTCGTGTTGTTTGGGCAAGATGGGTTTGGTATCGAAATTGCCGGCTTCCCTGCAGGCAAGGCCCAGAGCTCAAAAGAGGCCGACAAGTTCCGCATCTGGGCGGAGGTTGGGAGTGGTGTGAAGCAAAACATCTGCGGATCGGATGCAGAAAGGTTTTTCCGTCAGGTGACCACTGAACATGGAATTGACTATCTCGATTCCACATGTTTCGCGGCCTTCAACCGCCACATGCGCTCGCTGCTTTCCACGAGCCTCCTTCAGAATTTGCTGGGCTCTTCCGATTTCAAGGCGGCTGCCCGGTGCTGCGCCCATGGAGCATCTCCCAATGAAGAGCAATTGGAGAAGCTCTGGGCCAGTTTCGATAGCGAAGAGGACAGAGGAGTTTGGCTGGGTCAAATGCTGTCTCAAACCGCATGCGCTGGGAATGCATCACTTCTGCATCTTCTTCTGGAGCTCGGCGCTGATGCCGGGTACACTCTCAGCGATGATGACATGACAAACCTGTCATGTCTGGGAGCCCGAAATGGCCATGAACCAGTCGTGAAGCTGCTGCTGGAACATGGAGCTGATGCCGGTGCAGCAGCCAATGATGGAGGCACAGCGCTGATGTGTGGAGCCCAAAATGGCCATGAAACAGTTGTGAAGCTGCTGCTGGGACATGGAGCTGATGCCAGTGCAGCACGCAATGATGGAGTGACAGTGCTGATGAATACAGCTCTTGGTGGCCATGAACCAGTTGCGAAGCTGCTGCTAGAACATGGAGTTGATGCAACGGCAGCAAGCAATGATGGAGCGACAGCGCTGATGCTTGCAGCCGTAAATGGCCATGCACCAGTTGTGAAGCTGCTGCTGGAACATGGAGTTGATGCAACGGCAGCAACCAATGATGGAGCGACAGGCTTGATGCTTGCAGCCGAAAATGGCCACGAATCTGTGGTGAAGCTGCTGCTGGGACATGGAGCTGATGCCAGTGCAGCACGCAATGATGGAGTGACAGTGCTGATGAGTGCAGCTCTTGGTGGCCATGGACCAGTTGCGAAGCTGCTGCTAGAACATGGAGCTGATGCCAGTGCAGCGAGCAATGATGGAGCGACAGCGCTGATGCTTGCAGCTTGTGGTGGCCATGACTCAGTCGTGAAGCTGCTGCTGGAACATGGAGTTGATGCAACGGCAGCAACCAATGATGGAGGGACAGCGCTGATGCTTGCAGCCGTAAATGGCCATGCACCAGTTGTGAAGCTGCTGCTGGAACATGGAGTTGATGCAACGGCAGCAACCAATGATGGAGCGACAGGCTTGATGCCTGCAGCCGAAAATGGCCACGAATCTGTGGTGAAGCTGCTGCTGGAACATGGAGCTGATGCCGGTGCAGCAGCCAATAATGGAGAGACAGGCTTGATGCCTGCAGCCAAAAATGGCCATGAAACAGTTGTGAAGCTGCTGCTGGAACATGGAGCTGATGCCGGTGCAGCAGACAATACTGGAGCGACGGTCCTGATGCATGCAGCTCTTGGTGGCCATGACTCAGTCGTGAAGCTGCTGCTGGAACATGGAGCTGATGCCAGTGCAGCACGCCATGATGGAGCGACGGTCCTGATGCATGCAGCTCTTGGTGGCCATGACTCAGTCGTGAAGCTGCTGCTGGAACATGGAGTTGATGCAACGGCAGCAACCAATGATGGAGCGACAGCGCTGATGCTTGCAGCTTGTGGTGGCCATGACTCAGTCGTGAAGCTGCTGCTGGAACATGGAGCTGATGCCGGTGCAGCAACCAATAATGGAGGGACAGCGCTGATGTGTGCAGCCGAAAATGGCCATGAACCAGTCGTGAAGCTGCTGCTGGAACATGGAGCTGATGCCGGTGCAGCAGCCAATGATGGAGGCACAGCGCTGATGCTTGGAGCCCAAAATGGCCATGAAACAGTTGTGAAGCTGCTGCTGGGACATGGAGCTGATGCCAATGCAGCACGCCATGATGGAGTGACAGTGCTGATATCTGCAGCCGAAAATGGCCACGAATCTGTGGTGAAGCTGCTGCTGGGACATGGAGCTGATGCCAGTGCAGCATCCAATGATGGAGTGACAGTGCTGATGAATGCAGCTCTTGGTGGCCATGACTCAGTCGTGAAGCTGCTGCTGGAACATGGAGCTGATGCCAGTGCAGCAGCCAATGATGGAGTGACAGCCCTGATAGATGCAGCTCATGGTGGCCATGACTCAGTCGTGAAGCTGCTGCTGGAACATGGAGCTGATGCCAGTGCAGCAACCAATGATGGAGTGACAGTGCTGATGAATGCAGCTCTTGGTGGCCATGAACCAGTTGCGAAGCTGCTGCTAGAACATGGAGCTGATGCCAGTGCAGCAACCAACATTGGGGAGACAGCCCTGATGAATGCAGCCACACTTGGCCATGAACGGGTGGCAAAGCGGCTGCTCGAGCACCGAGCCGATCCTATGGCAGCATGCCATGATGGGATAACAGCACTGGCGGCTGCAGCACAAGCTGCCCATGAACCTATCGTGAAGCTACTGCTGGAGCATGGAGCTGATGCCGGGGCAGTAGACAAAAATGGGCCGGCTGCAGCCAGTCTGGCTGCCGCTTTAGGTGGGCATGAGCCGACGGTGAAGCTGCCATTTCAGCACGGAGCTGATGCCAGGACGGAAAAAGATGGGGTGACAGTGCTGATGCGTGCAGCCATAGGCGGTCACGAGGCTGTGGTGAAACGACTGCTTGAGCATGGCGCTGATGCCAGGGAGAAGGACAGCGAAGGGGAGACAGCATTAATGCTTGCAGCTCAAAGTGGGCATGACTCTGCGGTGAAGCTGCTGCTCGAGAATGGAGCTGACGCTGCGGCAGCAACACAACTTGGTGTCACAGCACTGATGCTCGCAGCTGCACATGGCCATGAATCTGTGGTGAAGCTGCTGCTCGAGAATGGAGCCGATGCGAGGGCAGCAAGCAATTTTGGGTCAACCGCCCAAGTGGCTGCAGCTCGAGGTGGTCATGGAAGTGTTGCAGGGCTCCTGTCTCAGCATTTAATTGACACGGCACCCAATGATGAGATGGGATTCTTGGCCCTGCTTTCCCAGCTTTTCGTTGATTCTTCCGCCGCGACCACTACGAGTTGACCTACGTTCTGTGAGCCTCCAGGTGAAGCCATGCAGCCTTTGTTATCAGTTAGATGCCGGGGCAGAAACTGCCGAATTGGATGCAGAATGTTGGTCACACAAGAAAAGAAACTGGAGGGCTTTGCAATGCATGTAAGTCTATGCTGCTTTTTCCCGAGAACATGACGAAGGTTTCTTTGTAAAACGGACTGTTATTCGTTTCAGCTTCATCATCGGATCTTCATCATCGTCACTATCATGGCATTTTTATCATCACACTGCCATTAACCGTCATCATCATCATCATCATCAGCACCGGGACCTTGCAATGACAGTGGAATTCACCTGGACTAGGAGATGGGCGTTTCTGCTGTGTACGATCAAGATGATCGGTTGAAGCACATTGGTCTCTCAAGGACCCTTTGTGCGCCTCTAGGCTCCTCTTTTGAAGTGGCCTTCGTGGGCTTTCCCTGAGTTGTGATTTCACCGTTTTTCTGTGGGTTTCTGTAGCTCGGGGCTTCGACTTCTTCGCTGAACCTACAACGTGCTACCTAGTGGCTGGAGCAGCATGCAGGGCCATGTCTGAACGTGTGCTCACTGGCTGCAGGAACATCCAGAGAAGCGTGGCAACCCGCGCCGAAGCCATTGGCATCAAGGAGGGTTAAAACCTAAACCCTAAGGCCCTAAACCCCAAACCCTAAACCCTAAACCCCAAACCCTAAACCCCAAACCCTAAACCCCAGAACCTAAACAGTGCATAACCCGCCTGCGGCACAGCGGCCTGCTGGCGCAGTCCTCTCTCCTGCTGCTCACGCTCTTGGGCCACGGAGTGGCAGGCCCGCCTCCGAAGCTCTTCTTTGGTTTAGTGTTTAGGGTTTAGGGTGCAGGGTTTCGAAGCTCTTCTTTGGAAGCTTGAAAGTTTTCAGAGACATGCCGGGTCGACAGCATTCGTAAGCCCTTACAGCTAAATAGCCCGGAACAGCTCCTGATTGGCCTTAAAAGGTTTCCTCGAGTGCATCTTGTGCCTGCCCGCATGCAGCAGCACCAGAGGGGACCCACCAGGGGAGATGTAAATGGAACAGGCCTCGGCGTAGAAAAGGACGCATCTGGCGCACCTGCAAGCAACAGAAAGAAAGCACTGGCACAAACAAACAAGGGCGAAACCACCGAGACACAAGCCCTGTCTTTATCCGACAAGAAAGCTGTTGCACACTCTGTATCTGCAGCCAGCTGGCAGTGTGACATGAGTCAGCAAAGTTCCAAGATGGGGAAAGAAAGCCCCAACTTTGGGCAAGTCTTCTGCATCGCGCAGATGCGCCCTGACTGCATGAGGTGCCTGGAGCTTGCGGTGAGCGGTCGCATGCGGAAGAGATAAAAGCGTGTTGAGCGTAGCTCTGTAAAGAAACAGGAGGGAAATTTCTGAGAGGTTTAGAGTTCGGGTGTAGGGATCAGAGGTGGTTTTTGCGTGATCTTGGTGCGAACGCAAAGCAGCATGCATGATTTCGTAAGGCCTTGTGCAAAGTGAAGCAACAGAGCCTTTTTTGCGCCTTGGGGTCATGAGCCCGAAATGCAAACAGCAGACGTGTCTCGGAGCAGTCCTGACCCTACTGCAAGCAGCAAACGCAGGTTTTGGGAGGCATGGCCATCCCTGAAAGTCTAAACCCTAAGCCCTAAACCCTAAACTCCCTAAACTCCCTAAACCCTAAACCCTAAAACCTAAACCCCGAGCCCTTCAGGGATCCCGTAAAGGAGGCCTTAGAGGTTCCCTTATCGGTTTGCATAACAGCACTGACCACATCTTATGCTGAGCACTTTCTTCCGGCCCAAGGCCCTTCAAAAACCGGCAGCTGTGGAGCAGACAGGGAGTAAGCCTTGTAAACAAGGGCTTCCTTACTTCGTGTTTAGGGTTTGAGGTGTCGGGGTTTAGGACTTTTTGGGCGCTTCTGAACGAAGCAGTTTCGCAGGTGCCTTCCAACGCCAGCCAAGGGCCCTAAGCCCTGAGCCCTTTCAATCCAAAGCCCCAAAGCCAAAACCCCAAACCCCAGGCCCCAAACCCGAAGCCCCTAAACCCAAAACTCCAAACCCTTAACCCCAAGCCCCAAGCCCTAAACACTAAACCCCAAAGCCCCCCGACATCTCAGCGCTGCACCGGCCCCCCCACAAAGTTAGCGGCGGTCCTCAGTAGCCGCTTTCCATGGCTGGTCCACACCGATTCGATGCGCCTGCGCCGAAGACCCAGACGTTATTATAGGGTTTAGGGCTTAGGGGTTTAGGGCTTAGGGGTTTAGGGCTTAAGGCTTTGTGTTTAGGGCTTGGGGGTTTAGGGTTTTGGGCTTGGGGTTCAGGGTTTCATAACGGTTCTGTAAGGGATGTTTAATAATGATTTTTTTGTATAACGGTCTCACCCACACTATTTCAGAAGGATGTTTTGGGCCAGAGCAAATCAGAATAGTCAGAACAGGGCTTTAACAAGGTTGTATGGGGTTTATAGGAGCGCATCAAGGCTTCATGAGTACTTAGTAGTATGCCCGTTCTGTCTCTATACAACATACTCCAAAAGCCTAAACCAATTAATGAGGCCTTGATATTGCGCTTCTGGCGTTTGCCAGGGACTTTTTTGTGAAAACACCCTACGTGACCCCGCGATTCAGTGTTATATGATAGCGGCACTCTTTCCCTGCAAATCCTGCATAGCAACACGCCGTAGTAGTGTTGTAAGATCTCGTTACCAGGAAGCCAGGCCTAGAAGATACCGCCATGCAGATACTGGTGCATCCAACAACTTATTCAAGCATGGTCTTTGCAGCCGGAGAAGGAACCTTTCCCAAAGGGTGGCTTAACATGTCCAACATCCTCATGAGGTATGTCTGTGTTTCATCCCAAGATCCTCAATGCAGGGGTCCTTGAACCCTTCCGCAGCTCTTGATTTCTGATCAGTTTTGGCTTTGATTTATCCTCGCCGACCAGTAGGATTCCATATTCTGGTGCGAAAAACCAGCATCTCCCAATACCTCTGCACGATAGCATCATTGTCTTGTAACGGCTGGAACATCACCATGCTAGCGTGTTAGACCCCTATGTTCTCTACTTGGTGTGACAATGGTTTGCTATGCTATGCTACTCCGGCCACTTCAGCAAACCCTAAAATGGCCCTAGACCCTAAACCCTGAATCCTTTCACGTCGTTGTGTCATCTGGCTTTGTTTTGGTCGCCTCAGCACCTTTAAATACGGTGGATGATATAAATCCTGCATTACCCATAATAAGGAATATACCCTGATTC